TTGCCAATTACGATGTGTCAAGCTTGACAGGTGGAATTTGTTGCAGTTCCGATGTCTCACACATGTCTCTTTGACAAATCGCGTTTGCTGCAATTTCGACGTTTCAAACTTGTCAAGTCGCGTTTTGTGCGGCGTCGGTGTCTCAACGTGTCGCCTCGATGTGTCAAAGTTGACAAGTAGCGTTTTGTGTCTTTTGGATAGATGCTCTGCTTATAAAGCTAAATGATTCCTTTTTATTTCAAGAGAAAAACTGATAAAATCCCATTTTTTACCGTAAAAAATTAGATTTTCTTGAACTGCAATTTATGCAAACATTTCATAAGATGTAATTTTCAACGCATATTGGGCCCGCAGAAGAAAAAAAGTAGGTTTCATCTCCTTAGAGCTTTGTATCTACAAAATCAATGTTTGGAAAGGCTCAGAAGCTCAGAAAAATTAGAAGAAATTTTGACTTCTTAGAAACTCGAATCGAATAAAGAGCCCAACCTCAAAAAACTTCATTTATCCACACCAACAATGGTTATTAGACCAGTGTTGTTGATAATGTTGTAAACCGAACCGGTCGTGTGAGCGGTCCCGGCCCATTATCCTACTCTCTAATGGAATTGGGTACTGATGCTGTTTGCCAGTAATTTATGGATATTAATATTCGTGATATTCCAGATTAATTATCCAGACACCCGGTGGAGCGCGCTGTAATGTAATGGAAATTGGAATTGAGACTAAATTGCTTTTTCATTTGATTTTGTCCAGTTTTTGAAACGCATAGCGGGCGCGTCGCTTTAAAGTCGAGTTCCACTCATTTTTCATTCGGTCCGCCCGATTTTAGCGAGAATTACTTTTAATGGAAAACGTAACTTTATCGCGGCGAATTGGTTTATGCCGGAATTCAAAAAAAAACTGAAACAAACGCTCATAAATTCCAAAAGCAATTAGACAATAACCACTTTCGGCGCTTCGCGCCGACCGCACCAAAAACTTGTTAAACAAAACTCGTAAATTCACACTTTCCAACTCTTCATCCCCGGGAAATATTCACCAGTTCTAACACGTTTCATTAGAGTAATCATCCATTAGTGGAAGTTTTGAATTCGCGACAACGTTTCTGCGACAGATGCGACCGTCTTAATTAAAAATTATTGGTTGAATTGCAGACAGCACTGGAAACTATCGGCCAACCCAGAAAAGTTGCA